GGGCTGACGTTACCAGAAGTCTTCCCCCCAAGCTCTACCTACCTGCAGCCTCTCCTGGTTGTTTTCTCTCTCGTTCTCTTCCGGAGGTTTGATCAGGTAACAGTGATTGCAACATTTCTTCAGCTCCATCACGATGTTCAGGAAGCCGGACGTACTGCCACGTGTTCCCTTGGACAGGGCTTTGTAATTCCTTGTTAAAATCCATCTGAAGGGTCAGCAGATAACAATGTTAGATTCAGCCCCTTTGGCGGCTTCAAAAAAAAAGCAAGCCAGCACATACAGAATATAGAACAACAGAGTTGGAAGGGACCTTGGAGGTCTTCTAGTCCAGCCTCCTGCTCGAACAGGAGACCCTATGAAATACACGTGCTGAGTATTCCTGGCCCACCACCAGAAGAACTCTTACTTGTAATACTGCTTCTGGAGGGCAGACATCTCCACCCGCAGGATCTGCTCCACTTTGGCGGGGAGGGATTTCTCCACGTCCTTCTTCACCCTGCGCAGGAGAAACGGCTCCAGGACTTTATGCAGGCCCTGGTACCCGTTCTCGCGTCCTTTGCCATGGTNAGGGAGAGAAGAGAGGAAGGGAAGGAGATGGAGAGGAAGGGAGGGAGAGGGAGAGAGGGAAAGAGAGATGGAGAGAGAGGGGGAGAGGGAGGGAGGGAGAGGGAGAGGAAGGGAGGGAGAGGGAGAGAGGGAAAGAGAGAGGGAGAGGGAGAGAAGAGAGGAAGGGAAGGAGATGGAGATGGAGAGGAAGGGAGGGAGAGGGAGAGAGGGAAAGAGAGATGGAGAGAGGGAGGGAGGGAGGGAGAGGGAGAGGAAGGGAGGGAGAGGGAGAGAGGGAAAGAGAGAGGGAGAGGGAGAGAAGAGAGGAAGGGAAGGAGATGGAGATGGAGAGGAAGGGAGGGAGAGGGAGAGAGGGAAAGAGAGATGGAGAGAGAGGGGGAGAGGGAGGGAGGGAGGGAGAAGGGGAGAGAGAGAGGATGAGTACCATTCAGGCCTATCTCCAAAGCCAACTGTGCAGATTCAAAAAGCCTCATCCAGCTCTTTCTTCCTTTCTACTGGCGAGGAGGTCCCAAGCATTTCACATCAGCCACAGACAGCCTCATTCTTTTTTTCCCCACCTTTTAATTTTAACACAGAAGGCTGCCCAGCTCCACAGAGACTCTGGGCAGCGTTTGATGTGAGAAAGAGGAAAAACAAAACAAAAAAACAAGAAAAGAACAGCTGTATTTTCAGAAAAGACCGATAAAACTGATAAAATTCAACCAGGGAATCCTACAAAATTTTACTCAAAGGCAGAAGCTTTCACCCACTGTAAAATGCTTCTGTGAATGCTTCTGTTATCGAATAAAAATTTGCTAGCAAAAAAAGTGCTATCAGATTCCTGGCTCTTTTTTTTTTTTTTTTTTTTTGCCACCGTAGGCTAAGAGAGACAGATTTTTTTTTAATAAGTTAGTATTAGGCTTGTATTGAGAACTGCTGCATCATAATTTGGGCTTCTAAACGTATCTTGTCCTAAAGGCAACTTTCAGCTTTGGGTTTCATTTGCTTTCGCAGTTTCTGCCCTGCATTATGGCTGGCTAAAGAGTTATTTCCTGACTCAACTTACTTCTCTGGCATGATAAAATGCAGCAGAGACCACAGCTCTCTTAGGGAATTCTGAAGGGGTGTCCCGGTGATGAGCAGGCGCTGGTTAGACTTGAAGTCAATCAGTGTCTTGTAGAGCAAAGAATCATCGTTCTTCAAGCGATGGGCTTCATCCACCCCTAGGAAGGCCCAGTTGATGCTTCCCAGAACGGTCTAGAGAGGAAAAACCAGATAGGGTTACAGTAGAGCAGTAAAGTAGAACATTTTAGGGAAGCCCTTTACATCTACTCTGGAAGACTTACACCTGTATCCCAAGTGTGAGAGGTTGTGACATACAAAATATCAGAATAACAGAGTTGGAAGGGACCTTGGAGGTCTTCTAGTCCAACCCCCTCCTCAGGCAAGAGACCCTATACCATTTCAGACAAATGGCTGTCCAGTCTCTTCTTAAAAGCTTCCAGTGATGGAGCACCCACAACTTCTGAAGACAAGCCGTTCTACTGGTTAATTGTTCTCACTGTCAGGAAATTTTGCCTTAGTTCTAGGCTTGTTCTCTCCTTGATTAGTTTCCATCCATTGTTTCTTGTCCTGCCTTCTGGTACTTTGGAAAATAGGTTGACCCCCTCTTCTTTATGGCAGTCCCTCAAATATTGGAACACTGCCATCATATCTCCCCTACTTCTTTGTTTCATTAGGCTAGACATACCCAGTTCCTGCAACCCTTCACATGTTTTAGCCTCAACCCCCTAATCATCTTTGTTGCTCTTTTCTGCACTCTTTCCAGAGTCTCTACATCTTTTTTATAATATGGTGACCAAATCTGGATGCAGTATTTTAAGTGTGGCCTTACCAAGGTTTTATAAAGCAGTGCTAATATTTACGTGATCTTGATTCTATCCCTCTGTTAATGCAACCTAGGATTGCACTGGCTTTCTTGGCTGCTGCCACACTATATTCAACTACATTCAATCCAAGATATAATTCTTTTAGTAGAGATATTTCAACTTCTCCATTTAGCTGGGCTGGCAAGATCTGCAAGCAATCTAGGGGTTCTTCTATTATGGACTGGGGATCACAATATCTCTGGAAGGAGTACTCTACCTCCATATATTTCCACCCATTAAAAAGCTGCATAGAAGAAGGAACAGCCCAAATGTGAACCCAACATGGCAGCTTACTGCTTCACACTGATTTGTGAAGAAGTTCTGTGGAAATATTCCTTCCTACATCAATGGTAAATAAAATTCAGCCCCACAAAGGTCTGTAGTTCCCAGGTTCTCCATCACCACTCTGCCCACATCACAATCCTTGGAAACCTCTTGGAACAAGTGTTGAAAACAGACCCACATCTTCCCATGAATTACAGTTGGAAAACGCAGCGAAAGTATGGTGTAGAACTAAAGCAGGTGGAAGATAGCTTAGAAAGCAAAAGGTAATTCCCCAAACACCTTAACAGGAAATACAATGCAAACGTTACTCATATTAGGTTCTTTGAATTCATGGTGTTTTGATCACTATCGTTTGCAACTTAATGCTCCCAAAATATTCCTGGCTAGCAGAAGACTGGAAAAAGAAGAAAGAAAGAAAGAAAGAAAGAAAGAAAGAAAGAAAGAAAGAAAGAAAGAAAGAAAGAAAGAAAGAAAGAAAGAAAGAAAGGAGGGAGGGAGGGAGGGAGGGAGGGAGGGAGGGAAGGAAGGAAGGAAGGAAGGAAGGAAGGAAGAGACCCACAAAGGAATGGATTAGTTCTCCAGAAGTCAACAGCAGCCAACCAACTATGAGAATCTAGAACTTTCTGAAACATCTTGACTCCTAGTAGCAGCCACCCTTTCTGAGCCAAAAATGCTAGTGCCGACAGAAGAAAGAAGATTGCCAGGGTTCCGCTTTCTTCCAAATAAAAAACTGCTTTGGCCCATCACCCACCTTGTCTTTCAGGAGTATCTCGTACGTTGTGATCAGCACGTTGAACTTCAGCCGTTTGGTCTGAGAGTGGATCCACTCATACTCACGGATCTGAAGTGAAACAAATGAATAGGTTGGTTTGTTTACATCACCATTCCCTTAACCTCGTGTTTCTCAATCGTGGCAATTTGAAGATGGGTGGGTTTCACCTCCCAAAATTCCCCCAGCCAGCAGAGCTAATTACACCACCTAATCATCCCACAGCTCTGTTATTTTTATACAAAAGCCTGATTCGCTCCACTCTCTTAAGCCAAAATGAAATTTGATTTTACTTTAGCAATAGCACTTAAGACTTATATCCTGCTTCACCGTGCTTTACAGCCCTCTCTAAGCTTTTTACAGGGTCAGCATATGGCCTCCACACAGTCTCGGTGCTCATTTTACCGACCTCAGAAGGATGGAAGGCTGAGTCAACCTTGAGCTGGTGAGAATCAAACTGATGGCAGTTAGCAGAATTAGCCTGCAATGCTACATTCTAACCACTGTGCCACCACGCCTCCTATCCTGTCCTGGGAAAGCTGTCAACTGTAGTCTATTCAACAGGGTTAAACCAACAGTGGATCTGAGCATCCAGGCAAATGTGTGCATAGTTCTGCATGCCAGCTACCCAATACACGAGAAGAGGGCACTTTAATTTCTCTGCCATGCCCCCTGCAACAGATCTGTCCAAAGATAAAAGAGTCGGTCCTGGTCCCATTCATCCCCCTTCCTTGACTCCGGTTTACGCACAGCGTTCCTGCTCATCTGATCTCCAATGTAGACAACCACGTTGATCTCCGGGGCCCAGATTTCAAATTCCCTCTGCCATGAGGTTAGGGTTGACAAGGGCACCACAATCATGAAAGGACCATAGAGCTGGTGCTGATAGAAGAGGCAGCAGAGGAAAGAAATGGTCTGGATGGTCTTGCCCAAGCCCATCTCGTCTGCCAAGATGACACTGTTGTTCCTGAGGAAGCAGACGAGCAAAGGGGTCAAGCCAGCCTAGCCACATTTCACAGTTCACACAGTGAACTCCCTTTTCCTCCTCCCTTTCAATTCTGGAGAACATCTGGAGGCAAAAGGAGATTTGGATTATTTCACCAATGCCTTCCATTGAGGATCTCTATACTGCACGAACCAGAAGGAGGGATGAGAAAATATCTACAGACCCCTCCCATTCTGGACATAATCTAATTCAACTTCTCCACTCAAGACACCACTATAGAACATTGCGTGCCAAAACAACCATATAGTTTGTTTATAACTTATGATTAATAATTGTAACTATGATTTATGACCGATTCCTGGCTGTTTATATGTACTGTGAGCTTATGCACTGGAGACAAATTTCTTGTGTCCAATTACACTTGGCCAATAAAGAATTCTATTATTCTATTCTATTCTATTCTATTCTATTCTATTCTATTCTATTCTATTCTATTCTATTCTATTCTATTCTATTCTGTTGTGTTCTGTTGTGTTCTGTTGTGTTCTGTTCTGTTCTACTCTACTCTACTCTACTCTACTCTACTCTACTCTACTCTACTCTCAGTCTGTCTTGTCATTTGGGCCTAAAAAGATCCAATTTTTGTTTTCATTTTTGTGGCCATGTATTTTCAGAGTCAGGAAACTCTACAAAGTAGTTTAGCTGCCAACAGTTGCTAGACTGTTTAGTTGACACTGTTGTGCTATCCAGGGTGCACCACGAGGAGTCAAACTAGCTTCACACAATCCTGAATAGAATTTGCACCTCACACAGCATCTGTCAGGACTCGCTGTATAAGTATCCTCCCCTCAGTGTGTGACTGCGGGGTCCCACACCAAACTGTAGGTCACATCATGATCGGCAGTAAAATATATCAGTCTAGCATCTGTTTTGTTTTTCATATAAACAGTGCTGCGCGTCAATGGTTAGGTGACCTAGACATTAGTATTTGAACATACAGCTTTTTAACATTTATATTTAGTTGTGTTTTATTAACCTACTTGCCTCCAAATGTTGTGGGTGCTCCAGCATTGGAGGTTTTTAAGAAGAGGTTGGACAACCATTTGTCTGAAATGGTATAACCCTGTTATTCTGTTATTCTAGGTGAAATGTTAATATATGTTGCAAATCCATGGATGACAGTCCCTATGTTGAATAAATAAATAATCATCTGAGCCCATCAGCAAGAGACACTGCTTCAGGTCATCAAGGGCAGGGATTACGAGGAGATTCCAAAACCTCTTTCTGGACTATGTTTTCTTTGGAGGGGGGGGAAGGGATCCCTGCCTGCCCTCACTTACTTGCACCAGGAGTGAGCCAACCAATTCAGGCCTTCCAGCTGATAGTCCCGGAGCTCCAGATTGTCCCCACCAATGTAGGAGGGTTGCTTCTTCAAGGCCACAAAGCGAGGTCTTTGCTTCAGCACCTAAAAAGAAGAGACCCATCACTCTCCCAGCTTGACAGACCTGTTGCTCTGGGGAATACAGGTAGTCCTCGATTTACGAACACAAGGGAACCCAAAGTTTCTGTTGCTAAGTGAGACATTTGTTAAGTGAATTTTTGCTCCATTTTACAACCTTTCTTATCACAGTTCTTAAGTGAATCATTGCAGTTGTTAAGTTAGTAACACGGTTGTTAAGTGAATCTGGCCACCCCATGGACTCTTGCTTGTCAGAAGGTCACAAAAGGGAACTCATATGGCCCCAGGACACTGCAACCGTCATAAATATGAAACAGTTGCCAAACGGAAGATGCGTGACATCCTGGACATAAATTGATTCAATTCCTTCCCTCAGGATGGCGCTATAGGGCATTGCATGCCAAAACAACTAGACACAGGGATAGTTCTTTTCCCTTGTTCCATCACACTGCTGATCATCTAATTCTCAGTGTGGTCTAATGTCTATGTGTATTTACCCATGTAGTATGGCTGTAGTATTATTATTTATCCTTCTTAATATCTTCTTACTCTTTATTGGTATCATTACGATGATGATTATCATTCTGTTGCTTGGCATGTACACGAGTGCTTCTGCACTTCCTTGTGTGTCTAAACACACTTGGCCACATAAAAAATTCAATTCAATTTAAATTGAGGCCAAAATGGGAAGAGCAATCTAAAAGGTTACCCCAAAGAAGAGGGAGTCAAGCTATTCTCCAAGGCGCCTGAAGGCACGACAAGAAGCAACGGATGGAAACTCATCAAGGAGAGAAGCAACCTAGAACTAAGGAGAAACTTCCTGACAGTGAGAACAATTAGCCAGTGGAACAACCTGCCTCCAGAAGCGGTGAATGCTCCAACACTGGAAGTTTTTAAGAAGAGACTGGACAGCCGTTTGTCTGAAATGGTATAGGGTTTCCTGCCTGAGCAGGCGGTTGGACTAGATCAGGGGTAGGCAACCTTGGCTCTTTTATGACTCGTGGACTTCAACTCCCAGAATTCCTGAGCCAGCCATGCTGGGGAGAAAGGGAGAGGTTTCCATGCTGAGCCAGGCCGGCTCAGGAATTCTGGGAGTTGAAGTCCACGAGTCATAAAAGAGCCAAGGTTGCCTACCCCTGGACTAGATGACCTCCAAGGTCTATTCTATTCTGTTCTGTTCTGTTCTGTTCTGTTCTGTTCTGTTCTATTCTTCGTCTGAAATGGTATAGGGTTTCCTGCCTGAGCAGGGGGTTGGACTAGATGACCTCCAAGGTCCCTTCCAATTCTGTTAAACCAACCTTGCAGTCCCGAGTCGGCATGGCTTTGGAGTTGTTCCTACTGTTGAAGCTATCGATACAGTACTGGAATTTTTTGCTGATCAGAGCTTCGTCTTCCCAGCTACACTCTGCGTAGGGAAGCCCCATCCACTTGCAAAGGTATTCTGGCTCATTGGAGCAGGACTTGCGGTTGTGAGCTGGAAATATTAGGGGAGGGGGCGGAGGGAGAGGAGATGAAGAAATACATGATAAGAGCCCAGCCATATCCTTAATGGGCACGACAGACAGAAAGGACAGCGACATTTGAGTATTGCGCTCTACTGAGTTGCAATCAGACATCTCTCTCAATCCGTATCATTAAACAAAGCGTGTAAATCAATAAAAGGGGCGAGCCCCCTTACCTAGGAATTCAGTTCCAGGAGTTGGCGATTTGTTTGTTTTCACCGCTGTGCATGAAATGAGAAAAAGGCATCCATAAATGCAATGATTAAATGAGATTAATTGATTTAATTTATATGCTGCCTTTATTATTTTTTAATAACACTTCAAGGAGGCATAATAATAATTTATTTATTTATTTATTAATTACATTTATATCCCGCCCTTCTCCTTGCGGACTCAGGGCGGCTAACAATTGGATAAAATACAGACATATAATACACCTATTTAAAATTGATTAAAAAGAAATATTTAAACTCATCAGATTAAAAGTAATTAAAACCCCTTTAAAATCCCTTAGGCCAGTCCCGCAAGCTGGAACAACCACGTCTTGAGGGCGCGGCGGAAGGAAGGGAGATCAGGGATCACCCTGATCTCTGGGGGCAGTTCGTTCCAGATAATAATAATAATAATAATAATAATAATAATAATAATAATAACAACAACAACAACAACAACAACAATAACAACAACAACAGCAGCAGAAGCAGCAGCAGCAGCAATAGTAGTAGTAGTAGTAGAGTTGGAAGGGACTTTGGAGGTCTTCTAGCCCAACCCCCTGCTCAGGCAGGAAACCCTTTGCTGGTCAGAAATTCACAAAGGGTGATCAAGTGACCCGGGACACTGCAACCGTCTTAAAGATGAACCAGTTGCCAATCATCTGAATTCTGATCACGTGACCACGGGGATGCTGCAACGGTTGGAAGTGTGAGAAACAACTGTAAGTCACTTTTTCCATGGCCGTTGCAAGTTCAAACGGCCACTAAATGAATGGTTGTAAGTCAAGGACTACTTTCTCCTGCTTTCCTTCATTCTCAAAAAAAAAAAGCCTTTCAAAAGAAAATTCCAACTTTCTTTTGAAAGCCATAAATGCCCCCCGTTTTCATCCATACAAAGCACATTTTCCCAAGATATACAGGGAGTCCTCAACTTACGACCGCCATTGAGCCCAGCATTTATGTTGTGAAGTGAAAAATTTTGTTCAGGGAGTTTTGTCCCGTTTTACGACTTTTTCTCACCACATTTGTTAAGTGAATCCTTCTGTTCTTAAATCGGTGATACGGTCGTTAAGTGAATCTGGCTTCCCCCCTTGACTTTGCTTGACAGGAGGTCGCAAAAGGGGATCACGTGACCCTGACTGCGACCGTCATAAGTGTGAGTCAATTGTCAAGCATCCAAAAATCGCGTAACCATGGGGATGCTTCGACGGTCATTAAGTGTGAAAAATGATCCTAAGTCCCTTTTTTCACTGCCATTGTAACTTCGAACGGTCACTAAATGAACTGGCGTAAGTCGAGGACTACCTGCAGATGAAGGATTGAACCAGAAAGACACGGGATGGGACTGATTCCCCTTTGACCCCAAACTCACCAATCACTCTTTCCACAATCTGGTACTGCTTGTTCAATTCAGCCGCCAGCTCCTGTTGGCAGTTGTAATACTCAATGTCTTCCGGAGTGACTTTTTCCAACCTGGGTACAAAACAAAAAACAAAAACAAATTAGGGGTTGTTGTTGTTTTTTTGCAACAGACGTATTAAGATTATTCTGATCTCGCTATTGTACCAAACATTTAGAAGCAGCAATTTTCTTAAATTGTTTACAAAAGACAAGTGATTTGTTTTTTGTTGAAAAAAAAATAGGATTTTAAAAAGAAAAGTCCCCAAACTAGTTTTTAGAGAAGTAAAACTGGCTGAAAGCTCCTGGAACTGAGGCCAGGTGGAACAGCCATATAAAACTTTGTGGGTGTTATCTGAAGAAGTAATCACAGCCAGTTTTCACTTGACTCCATATAGGAAAGGCTTCTGTATGTTTGGCAACGTGGAAAAATCTAGTTTCCAAATATCCAGTTTAGGAGCAGAAAACAGGATCCCGATTATTAGAGACACAAAATCTTAAACCCTTTCAGACATGAAACTGTGCAGCAGGTTTAGCCAACTTCTGAAGGGATGAGAAGGACACAATTTGCTTATCTTAGAGTGATCAGGGTCTGCAGGGGGCCAAGGCAGTATTTTTTGCAAGGAGCTTGAGAGTTTTTTGGGATTAAATCCATTTTATTGGAGTGTTTCTATCTCATCTGGTGGGGATCCATCCGTTTTTAGTACAGGTAGTCCTAGACTTACAACCGTTCATTTAATGACCATTCAAAGTTACAACATCATTTTAAAAAAGTGACTCATGACCATTTCTCACACTTACGAGGGTTCCCGTGATCAAAATTCAAACAGTTGGCAGCTGACTCACATATATGATAGTTGCAGTGTCCTGGGATCATGTGATCCCCTTTTGTAACCTTCTGACCAGCAAAATCAATGAGTAAACCATTCACTTTACAAACTTGTAGTTAACTTAACTACTGCAGTGATTCATTAACAACTGTGGCAAGGAAGGTTGTAAAATGGGGCAAAACTCACTTAACAAATGTCTCGCTGAGCAACATAAATTTCAGGGTCAATTGTGGTCATAAGTTACAGATTATCTGTAATCAGATGTGTTCAAAATGCCTCTTGGGCCACCCAAAAAAAAAAAAAAAATAGGTTGAGAATCACAAGTTGAACTCCCATTTTCCATACAGGAAGCCCAGTTTTAATCCACATTCTTAGCAGGCCAGAAGAAAGAAAAGCCTACCAACTGTTGATTTCTTCTTCTTTCTTCTTGAAGTTCTCCAGCTTCTTGAGACCTTTCACTTTCTGCTGCTGCAAGGAGTCCTCACTTTCCCACGTGCTGTGGATATACGACCAACCTTTCCATTTAATTAAGTACTGCACCTCCCCTTCCTCCTTTTCTGGGTCAAAATCGGCACAGGGATCACCGTTGGCTTCTGTTGAGTAGACCGTGGTGGAGGCCCCAATGGCTGCCGAAGGAGCAGAGGTGAAAGTAGGTCAAACCTTGCAAAACAGTCTTGGGCCATTTGCTCCTACGGAGGGCTCCAGTCACTTCTAAGTACCCACTTCTAAGGAATTCCATTTCATTTCCCCGACTAAAAAGTTTCCCCTACTAAATTTCCTGACAGTTAGAACAATTAATCAGTGGAACAACCTGCCTCCAGAAGTTGCGAATGCTCCAAAACTGGAGGCTTTTAAGAAGAGACTGGACAACCACTTGTCTGAAATGGTATAGGATTTCCTGCCTGAGCAGGGGGTTGGACTAGAAGACCTCCAAGGTCCCTTCCAACTCTGTTTCTATTCTGCTTCTATTCTGCTTCTATTCTGTTTCTACCTGTTTCTATTCTATTCTATTCTATTCTATTCTATTCTATTCTATTCTATTCTATTCTATTCTATTTTCTATTCTATTCTATTCTATTCTATTCTATTCTATTCTATTCCATTTTCTATTCTATTCTATTCTATTCTATTCTATTCTATTCTATTCCATTTTCTATTCTATTCTATTCTATTCTATTCCATTTTCTATTCTATTCTATTCTATTCCATTTTCTATTCTATTCTATTCTATTCTATTCTATTCTATTCTATTCTATTCTATTCTATTCTATTCTATTCTATTCTATTCTATTCTATTCCATTCCATTCCATTCCATTGTGGTCAGCACTTAGCACTCCTTGAAAATGCTTTATTTCTGAGTGTGAGAGCCTTTTTTTCCCCAGTCTTTGTTGGGCTTTTCCATGACTCTGAGGGTTTCCCCAAACATGCTTATCCCAGAACTAAAAGGCTGGGTTTTTTCAAAGCCTTAAAGATCCTGTTCAGAAAAGTGGCTTGAATGATCAGTTGGGTATCAGGGTACCATCTACAGACTTCAAAGGCATTATACCGGCAAAGCCCTCCCACTCTACCCTTGATCTGGTCCACACTCAGAAGCCTTTATAAAGTCAACACGTTTCAATTTGCCTTGTTCTAGGCAACCTCTCTTTTTTTGCAATACAAAGCTAGTTCTACAAGGCCTTGTTGGCTACTCTAATGAAATCGCCAAATATTATATGTCCCTAATTCCTAAACTGGGAATTGTGCAAGCTGTACCCAAAAAAAGGAGAATATTTCTCAGTTCAGGGTTGAAATGAGGGGTCCTTGGTGCTTGGTGGTTTTCTTGCAGACATTTCGTTACCCAAACTAAGAAACATTAGCATGGGTGATATTACCTAATTTGAGAAATGAAATGTCTGCAAGAAAACCACCTAGCTCAGAGAGCACCAAGGGACCTGTTTGCAAATTGGGTGGCATTCTAGAAGCAAAGACGTGTTTTCTGGAAGGATCCAACTTGGAGAAGGCTGCTTTTAAACTGGATGCCTATCTCTACTAGGAAGAAACACTGTAGGAACATCCGAATCCCAGGAATATTTTCCTGCACTCACCTCCTTTCTTGCCTATTCTCTTCTCCAGCACTTTCTCAATGGTTTCGCTGTTACTCTGCTGCTCCTCTGCTCCTTCTCCTGTCATCTCAATCAAGTCATCGGAATCGGTCTCAAAGTCATCGTCTTCCTTGTAACTGTGCATGAGACCATGTACAAGGACAGTTCAGGGTTTTCTTTCTGCTGAATGGGTTCTCCATACAAACAAAGAGCGGGTTTTCCCCCGACCTTGGCAACTTCCAGACAGGTGGACTTCAACCCTTGTCACCAACAGCTGTTCTGACTCTGGAGTTCTGGGATTTGAAGTCCACCCATCTGGAAAGGGCCAGGACTGGCCAAACGCCAAACCAAAAGGATTATTTTTACAAGGTAGAAAGAAGAGAGATTAACATCTCCAAGCCTGTCTCCAAGCTTAAAGGGAAGATTCCTGATGATAAGATGGCACAATGGTGGAATAGACTAGGGAAGTTGTGGGTTCATCTCTGAAAGTGGACAAGAACTTCTCATGGATGATTCAATTGGCTTTCCTGCCATTGTAGAGGATTAGATTAGACCAGTGTTTCCCAACCTCAGCAATCTGACGATGGATTTCAATTCCCAGAATTCTCCAGCCAGCTCCAGGACACTGCATAATCTGGGTTCATATACTGAGGTAAGCTATGGTTTGCTCAAAGATGGCTTGGTAAATAACCCATAATGACATAGGTTCACATATTAATTTAAGGCATAATTAGATTAATTCATGTAATGTATAATGGCTAGGTTCAGACAAACAAACCACCCCATGTTGGCTGAGCATTTGTGAATCCAGTTCTAGTTTTTTCTGCTATTACCTGACATTTTTGGCTGCTCGGCGCTTAGTTTGTCTTTTGGGGGCCTCGTCTTCTTCATCATCATCATCTTCCTCTGAGGATTCGGTTTTCCTCCGCCTGTTTGCACGCTGGGGTCTGCTGCTCCTTTTTGGGAGGGATTTGCTCGCTGCTCTGAAATGAAACAGACCGATACAGTAGTACCGTAGTAATAGTGGAGGTAGCATTAGCACTTCGACTTATATACCGCTTCACAGTCCTTCACAGCCCTCTCTAAGCGATTTACAGAGTCAGCCTCTTGCGCCCAACAATCTGGATCTTCATTTTATCAACCTCAGAAGGATGGAAGGCCGAGTCAACCTTGAGCCGGTCAGGATCGAACTGCTGGCAGTCGGCAGAATTAGCTTGCAATACTGCATTCTAACCACTGCGCCACCACGGCTCAGTGGTTGTAATAGCAATTGAGCATTCTTCAACAGCAGACCAGGAAATCAACCCCATAGCAAGGCTAAGGTTACTGTTATTAGGTAAAGGATTCCCCTGTCCGGTCGTGTCGGACTCTAGGGGGTGGTGCTCGTCTCCATTTCTTAGCCAAGGGAGCCAGCATTGTCTGAAGATGTTTCCGTTGCCATGTGGCCAGCGTGGCTATACGCCAAGGTTGCACGGACCGCTGTTACCTTCCCACTGCAGTGCTACCTATTAACTCACTAGCATTTGCTTGCTTTCAAACTGCTGGGTGGACAGGAGCTGAACCAAGTAACAGGAACTGACCCGGTTGTGCTGTGCTGGGTCTTAAACTTGGGCTGTCAGCTTTCCAGCTGACAATTTCAGCATCGTTAACTGTTGAGCCAGTTACTGAGACTGGCTATAAATAGCAGAATCTTGCTCTTTTTTTTTTAAATTTATTTTTTATTTTTCCAAACTCTCCCCCGTACATATACTGTGATATTTATCAGATATTAACATACATTCTTTTTACATTCTTATATATAAGATACTTTTAATGAAATAAATACATACACATGACTTTTGGTGTTGCTCGCCCATTTCCCCTTTCACTGCATCCCCACTCCTTCTTCTCTACCTTCTTTCTCCCTTCCTTCTCTTTCTTCCCTACTTCCCTCTTCTTCCTCTCCTCTCCNCAACTCCTCTCTCCATGTTTCCCAATCTGTATTATATACAATAAGATTAATTTTCTCTTACATTAATACTTCTATTTATCTAACCTTCTCAGTATATACGTCTATAAATATGTATACAACCTCCAGTTATTCAATACTATGTCGCCTGGGTCTCCCTCCTTATCTGCTCCTTCTTCTTCCATCTAAATTGATGTTAACTCTCTTTTAACCGTATTCTCTTTTCAGCCAATCATAAAAAGTTCCCCAGATTTCATAGTAGTCTGACTCTGTCTTATCTTTAATCGTCATTGTTAATCTATTCATTTCTGCACATTCCAGTATTTTCCCAATCACAGAATCTTGCTGTGCTGGACCTTCTCCTCCTTCTTACACGCCAATGAATTCAGGAGGTCTCTACCTCAGCCACTTCCAAATGCTATACCACCTCTTTTGCCTAAGCAAGGGTTCCTGTATATTCCAATCAAGGTCATCTTCCTTACTCTTGTTCTACCCTAGAAAGTTTTGCCATTATTCTGTCCTCCCGCTAGACAAAGCTTCCATCAATGCACCCTGAACACCAACTCAGAATGAAATGTTGGAAGAACAGGGTTTAGAGTGGGGAAGAATAAGAGGAACCGCAAGGAAGGATGCATCAGTTTTCTCACCTTCTTGAACAAAGCCTCCTGGATTTCACTCTCTTCACTTCTTGTTCGCTCTCTCCACTGGAGCCTTGATCTTCAGCATCATCTTCATCATCATCATCCCCAGATCCCTCCCTTCTCCATTTACCTCTGTGTTTATAAAAGTTGACAAAGAGTAATAGGCATGATGACTGTCACTACGATCCATTGTCATGGTTGCTGTTACTTTTACATGCCAACTAATTAAACACCTCCCCCCCAAAAAATAAAATACGTAAGGAAGCTCTAGATACACAGAATATTCACCTAATGTTAGACAATTAAATTATTAACTAGAGCTGTGCAGAAATAAATTCATAATGAATGTGCAACCTCCTTAAAGCAGCTGCATCTTTTGTTGAGATGACGCGGCTGCCCTTTGCGGACACCTGCGATTTCAGGAAAGGACAAGGCTGCTTTAAAGAGCTAAAAACGGGTGTTTGCTCCAAAGCACCATTCAGAAAGCCCCCTCCCCCCCCGCTTAGCTCTATTATTAACAATAACGTCTGTTCAATTAACAGTAAGAAAAGCAAAGAGTTTGGCTAAATATACACAATCCCAGTTACTCAAAAGACCCCCTATTTCAAACTTCTGGCAAGTACAAAAAGAGACACGAGGTCTCATAGCTGGAATATAATTGTAGTTTCCAGGACAATTGAGATTATTAGGGGAGGAGAGTCTACAAGCCACATATAGTCAATCGAGGCTCTCACATGGTCTAAAGCAGGGGTGTCAAACTGCCAGCCCGCGGGCCGGACGCGTCACGTGGAAGCCGCGCCCACCCCATTGCCGGCAATGGCAAAACCGGCCCGATATGTTGCGCGACGTCAAGTGACGTCGTGAGTTTGACATGCCTGGTCTAAAGCAGGTATGATTGTGTCACATGTGTGATAAGGATCAGAATTCGTTCCGAGCTGACAAATCGGCATTTATTTTTCTCTGCTGATCTTTGCTCGTGTCTTCTGAGTCAAACCTCTTGTAGAAAACCACATCACCACGATTTGTAGTAATTTTTCCGTGGTGGAAATGCACCTCAAGTGATCTGGAGGTAGCCCTGAAGCATCAGCACCCATATCTGGGCTGCAACGTGGCTTGGAGAAGAGGGAAGATGATCTGTAGGACATTTCCAGCTGTAGCATCATTGTTTCTTTGCACAAAGTTTCTTGACTGTTCCTTTGGAGGGGGGGGGTTTCTATGTCTTTTTTTTTTTTTTTTGAGGGAAGACAGGAACGATAAATGGGACAGGAACACTTTGGCTTAAGCGACTATCCAGAAGACTTTCCACGATTAAGAAGATAGTAAAATTTCCCTCCTTTGAACCGAAACAAGGAACTCCTTCTATCCTCCTTTATTTCTTTATTCATCCAATTTAGAATGATTTTTTTTTTTTTTGCATCTGACTCCTTCAAGGTGGCTTCCGGATCAACAGTGAACCGAAAATGACACCCCATCTTTTTTTAAAAAAATAGAACAGCAATCTTTCTCAATCAGGACCCTTGGTTTGAAATTCATCAATCCCCTCACAGCCAGGACGACCACTAGGCACACTCTTGAGATTATGGGATGTAGAAATTCACCCGCTTGAGGAAAACTATTCTAACACTCTGCACGAGCAGAAGGTGTGACGGGGTAAGGTCGCGACGAACACCTGGCAACTAACATCCCAACCATCCACTGCAGGAAAATTTGCTTCCGAAAAGAGGCAGAGTCCTCGTAACTTACATTTTTTTCCCTTGCCTTGACCCTCTTCTTTTGGGACTCTCACTTTCCGACTCGCTATGACCCTTGAATGGAAACAGAGAAGGAGGGAGGGAGAGAGAGAGGGGAGGACCAATAAAAGAGGCTGCTGGTCGATGGCTGCATCTTTTGCTGCAAATACCGTCGGCATCCATAAAAGGGGTTGGACACACCCCAGATTTAAAGCCAACACAGTCAAAAGGGAGACATTCACTACCATATAGCAAATAAATAGGCCACACCCTTTCGGCCCATGATCCCAACAGTTCCAGTGGTGTTGTGTTGTGGTTGTTTTTTTTTAAAAAAAGAAACTCTGTTATATCGTGAACACAAGTGAGCAAAGGTACTTGAAAAAGAAACCCGAACTGAAGACAGAGCCAAACAGAAGGAAGAGGACCAGGTCACCGCTAATAGCAGCCACACACCCGAGGCCTTCCAAGCGTAGCAGAAGACAGGATGATGCAAGCTGCAGGAAGGGGAAATCCCGCTCACCTGTACATGGGCTCCCTCTTAAGGGGAGGATCAGTAATGTGGGGTCCTTGGTGCACTGATGATGTTACCTAGTTGGGTAATGAAACGTCTGCAAGAAAGCAAGAAAGCTCAGAGAGCACCAAGGACCCCCCCCCCCATTTCAACCCTGAGCTAGAAATATTCTCTTCTGTCAGTTTAGGTGACTGCCGTACCTGGCTTTCAAAGGCACATTGTGAGTCACACTCCAGAAATTATGAGGGATCAGGAGCAACTCCCCCCCCCCCAAATGGGGAAGGGCTGAATAAGCACTTCTAAAATTTCATTTCAATTTAAAATCATATAATGTCCATTTCATACTTTCAAAATCTTTGTTTGTTTTTGGATTTAATAGCATTGGTAAGCCGCTGAGAGTCTCCCAAATGCAGTGGGTAGGAATCCATTGATTAATTACCTGAGACTGGTAATTAATATATGCAAAAAGAAAGAAAGAGAGAAAGAAGAGGAGAAGGGGAAGGGAAACCCTTAAAATTCATTTCCTAATTTTTCTACAAAATTACTCTTATGCTTACATATATTTATTAGATCTTCTTATACAATTAAACTATTGAGACATCATTCTGTTCACTCACTAGTAAGGAAAAAGAGAAACTATACACGACAGCTAAATGCCCATAAATCTGGATAACCTAGTCTCAAAGAAAAATTATTATTAAATAAGTTGCCCTGTTGATGGACAGCTCGTTCAGTGCAAAATGGTGCTCAGAGGCCAGAATGTTAAGAGTGATATTTGCATGACATTTTGTATGTAATGATTCTCACAGGTAACAGGATGAAAGACAGTATACTGCTGCTGAACAAAGACTCAGCCACAAAAATCTGCTTGAGACTGACAAAAACGGACTTAAAAATGGAAACATTAGTTGTTTCTTCAGTTTTCTTTCCCTATTGGAACAGGGCAACATTATTTAAATTATAGGTGACAAGAGAGTTAAGAAAATGAGCTGCTATGTTAGATGCAGGGATCCAAGTATATTAGAAACCGGTAAAGAGACGAAGATCTTCGCAGTCAACATTGGCCAGAGCCCTACAGAATCCTACAAGATATGTCTGTCTGTCTGTCTGTCTGTCTGTCTGTCTGTCTGTCTGTCTGTCTGTCTGTCTGTCTGTCTATCTATCTATCTATCTATCTATCTATCTATCTATCTATCTATCTATCTATCAATCAATCAATCAATCAATCAATCAATCAATCAATCAATCATTCAAGGAAGGTTTTATACAAAACAATTGTTAAATAAATTCTGGCTCAGTTCACACAATGACTAAGCCAAACATAACAACAAATCACATAGGGGCTTGGTGTGATACATATTGTAAAGTTCAGTTGCACAAACACAGGCCTGGGATCCAGAAGTATTTATTAGAAAAATGTAACCTGGCCTTCAGTGCCCTGGCCCCCCAAAGGGAAAAAGAATGGTAATAATTATAATCATGACAACGACGATTTAAAAACCTCTGAAGATTTCTGTTCCACATTTTTTTTTCAATGCGGTGAATCCAACCTGAACTGAAGAGAGTTTAATTCGAAGACAAGATGGGAAGGGTCAAGTGAATCATTCTTTCTGATGCAAAATGTTCAAATCTGGTGCCTTCTGCTAGGCACCTAAATCCATATATAGGCACCCAAGCATAAATGGACCCATTTTTAGAGAGGGTGCCGCTTGCCTTTTCAGGTGCTCGAATATAAATTTAGGTGCCTACCTTTGGACTTCCAACTTTAACATTTTCAGTCTGATTCTGAACTTTCCTGAGCCTCATTTTCTCCATCTGTAAAAAACAGAAGGGAAAACTTGCTTACCCGCTTTGGACCACGGTCAGGGTGGGAAATGTGCACACAAATGAGAAAAAGAAAGAAGAAAAAGAAAAAAAAAGTGGGAGAATCAGTCACTCACAAAAACGGCACAGAAAAGGTGGCCAGTCCAGTAACCACACTGCCCCAGAAGGCGATTTTGGATGGAAGTGAAGAAAAGAAATGGTTTTGATGTCTCAGCCATCAGATGAAAAAATAAAAATTAAAATTAACCCCCTGACCTCATCTCATGCATGGGATTCAAGAGATGATTATATCTATAATATAGAAAGGGAGGTCAAAGGTTTAACGGCAAAGGAACAACACAATATAGAAACACACCACACTTTTTATCATGCACCCCTTTAGTCATGCCATCTTTCTGGAATCTCAAGCAGGGCTGTTCCTGCAACTTCTCCTCGCCTCCCCCCAAAGGTGCTTTTTTAGGAGACAACTGAACTTTCTTGTTTTTCTTTGAAGACGTTTCGCTTTTCGTCCATTCTCCACCCTCCAGTCAGAGCTGAAGAAGCTTCTTGGGATGAGAAGCGAAACGTCTTCAAAGAAAAACAAAGGAAGTCCAGTTGCCTCCTGAAAAAGCACTTTTGGGACAACCATGACCTAGATGACAAGAGAATCTCCATAGACATCTCCTTGTCTCTCCCCATGGACAGATTGTCCAAGACTTCAATGAGGATCGTATAATTTCCCAATTGGACCAGGAAAGGTCCAATGGACACCTTTGTTTGACCTGGGTTCAGTTGCAGAAACAGCTCTTCAGAAACTGCAAAATGAAACCACCGAACAGAACAACTGGGCTCTTACATTCTAAGGATAGTTTTTGCTCTTTATGGGTTTCGTCTCCCCTTACCTCGTCGTTTATAGTAAAACGCGAAGGCTCCTGTCTGCTACGATTGGATCGTCTCACCCCGTAAACATCGGGGTATTCTTCCCACATCTGCAAAATAAATCAAGCCGGCATTTGTATTCCCTTAAGGCATACTAAGGGTGCTGAAAAGAAATTCATCTATTATATTCTCCTGGAAGTGTCCTGTGATATAGGCTGGACTACCTGAATGAACAAATTAGATGGCAGGTGCAAAGGATCAGGACCACCTGTTAAGTTGCAGCACAGATTTTATTCAAGCCTATATACCCAAGAATCTAGTCAACTCAAATTCAACGCTAAATTGGCATCAGATAAGGGTCAATGGAATTTAGGAGGGGTTGGACCTGGACCCTTTGTGGGAATGTAATGATTCTAAGCTGATGGCGTGCTTAACTCCACCCCCCAGCTCTTCTCTTCTGCTCTTCTCCTATGTTAGATCTTTCTTGGGGCATGGGGATAGAATTCATAATGCTTTAAACCAACATGATCCTCAGAGGACCCACAAATCCCAACCAAGCAAAGTTATCACCCCTTTCACCCCTTGAGCTTCCCAATCTGCCAAGTTGTCCCCACTTTTAGCAAGGCAATGCTGTACCTTTTTGACGTCAGCTATCCTTTCTTTCTTGGATGCTGGTTTCTCCTTAGCTTCCGGAGGGGTGCGCCGAGACTTGGATGCTGTGGACCCGCTCTCTGATTCAGATTGACTTCCTGAAGATTCGGAGCTGCTGTTGGATTCACTCCCATGATCACTGCCTTGCTCACTGTCTGACTGGCTGCCCGTGTCGGAAGCCGAGCCCTCTTCAGACGCTGAGTGACTGTGGAGAAAATAGCAAGATTTTTTTTCTACCTGCAAGGATATAAAGCAGGTTATCGTTTGAGGTCTCCAAAAAGTATGATACGGTCTTATTATTTCTTCTAGCAATACATCTGCATAACTATGTGTACTTCATTGCCTTGGTCAACATGCTTCCATCACAAAATCCATCTAGCTTGGTGGGATCTACTTCAGGCTTTCCCCGATTCAGAGGAAGTTAACTGTCATGAAAATTACAGCTTATCTTTTTTGGGATGGGGGAAGAGGAGATACTCAGGTTTGAGGTTTCAAATGTGCATGTTATTTTGGCCAGACGTACAGAAAAAGTTACAGGGCTGGTCAGAAAAACCTCTCGACGATCTTTTGAAAGAAGCTCAGAAAGTATATGTCAGGAGAAGTGAGGAGAGGGATGAACGAAAAGGAAAAATGATGGTAGCAACTTTGAGGGAAATAGTAAAGCCAGAGAAAGAAAGAGAGAGACCGTTGTTAAAAGGGAGGGAAGTGGGGCATTGGCCACCAGAAAGAAGATGGCCACCCTCCGATGAAAGGAGAAGACCGAGCCCACGGTCAGGTATGGCCAGGTCGGCCATTTTAGGAAAGATTGCCCTGTCATGAAGGAAGAGAAGAAAGTCTACCGATTGATGGAGAGTTGATGGAATTTGGATTGGGAATAGATGGTACTGGCTCTGACCCAGTCACTCTCATTACGATAAAAGTAGTAAAGATAGAAAAACAGAGTAAGCAACATAAACTGTTCCATTCTTTCTATGAAGAGTTGGAAACCAAAATTGAAATACCAGCCATCACCCAAAATTTGTTCATTGATTTGGCTGAAAGAATAGTGGCATATGACCAAAATGTGCCTATTAACTGGATCCATAGAGAAGGGACAGGTGGCGTGTCATCGGGACCAGGAGATATTTAAACCGTTGCCAATTCTCATTGTGTATGGCTTCTTGATTGTGTTAATAAAAGTCCACCAGTCTTTGCAAATGCTTGTAAATAAAATTTTCTTTCAGTGACCTCCAAGTCTCTTTTGAATCTTAATGTTAACCCAGACACAGGGTTTACAGAAAAGGACCATCCAAGCAATCAACCTGGAGGCTAAAACATATAAGGACCGGTTGCTGGAATTGCGCATGTCTAGTTTAATGAAGAGAACGACTAGGGGTGACATGATAGCAGTGCTCCATTATTTGAGGGGCTGCCCCAAAGAAGAGGGAGTCAAGCTACTCCCCAAAGCACCTGAAGGCAGGACAAGAAGCAACGGATGGAAACTAACCAAAGAGAGAAGCAACCTAGAACTAAGGAGAAATTTCCTGACAGTTATAACAATTAATCAGTGGAACAACCTGCCTCCAGAAGCTGTGAATGCTCCAACACTGGAAGTTTTTAAGAGACAGCCATTGGTCTGAAATGGTGTAGGGTTTCCTACCTGAGCAGGGGGTTGGACTAGATGACCTTCAAGGTCCCTTCCAACTTTCTCACTATTATTATAATCATAGCAACTGCCCTTGCCATTCCACACCAGATACTGTGCATCACTTCAGTAACTTCATGATCAATTCTAAGGCTGGTTGCTGGACCATTTCAGATTAGTCTGGTCTTATTCAATTTGTCCATATTTTTTTTTACAATGCTCCTTGCCATTTATTAATACAGCTCACAGATCATTTGCATTTTCAGTTAACAAAGTGCTGCTGTCATCAACATAGCTGAGAGATTGATGCTTCTTCCTCCAATTTTAAAGCCACATTCAAAGTGCATTATAAAATAGCCTATTTTGTATCTATTACTCGACACAAAACAATAGCAATAAAAGCTAAAAGGCTAAGCAGCTGGAAATAAAATCAGCAATAATACCAGTGTATAGGCATGGCCAAATTTATAGGCCTGGATTACGCCAGGCTGTTTCTTACAGTTTTTAAAAACAAGTTTTCTCTTGCCTCAAGTGGAGTTCACCAAGAAAAGAATCTCATAAAATGCCTTTTAAAAAAGAAAAAAAAATATCTTGCATGAGTCAATTAATTCAGTGGTAGGAACTGGGCTGAAGAATTTAAAACAAAACAAAACAAAAAAACCTCTTCCAGGTGGTAAAAGGGCAGTAAATTCCAGATACAGATCCCTGAGCCGAGCACGTGACACAATTGTTGGCACGTACTGCAGTGCATTAGAGCACGTATTTTACTTTAAAAGGTGTGAAAAGCAAAACATGGAAAAGCAACGGAGTGAAATTAAAATGCATTTCTTTAGGAAACGGGCAGAGGGCAGCAAGAAAGCAGGAAAAGAGCAAGCTTTGGGCATGCAGTCAGAAGCCATTTTGAAAACATGATCTGTGAATAAGCCACCATTTTACGGCTAATCCCTGCATTGCTCTCTCTGGAGCCAATTCCAAACAGGAGAATAAAACAATTGCTAAAAGCAC